ACCCCTTCCTTCCTTCCTTCCTTCCTTCCTTCCTTCCTTCCTTCCTTCCTTCCTTTCTTTCCTTCTTTCTTTCTTTCTTTCTCTCTTTCTTTCCTTCTTTCTTTCTTTCCTTCTTTCTTTCTTTTTCTCTTTCTTTCTCTTTCTCTCTCTCTCTCTCTTTCTTTCTTTCTTTCTTTCTTTCTTTCTTTCTTTCTTTCTTTCTTTCTTCTCTTCTCTTCTCTTCTCTTTTCTTTTTTCAAAGATTTTATTTTTAAGTAATCTCTATACCCAGTGTGGGGCCTGAACTCACAACATGGAGATCAAGAGTTGCATGCTCCATTGACTGAGCCAGCCAGGTGTGCCCCCTGAGCCCCTTTCTCTAAGACTTACTTGGCCTGGGCCTGAAGCTCTGGGCCCTTGGCCTTCTCCACCAGGTCCTTGCCGTAGTCGGTCATGGTCTGGAAGTACTGAGAGACCAGGCTCTGCAGATTCGGCTCCTCTGCCTGTCTCCGAACAAAAGCCCCTACACACACACACACACACACACACACACACACACACACACACACACACACACACCTCGTCAGCTGGGTCCCCAGCAATGAGTCCTGGCCTCCTGCCATACCTCTGTCAGTAGCCAGCCCCCTCTCTCAGCCCCCTCCCCAAACAGGTACCCAGCTCCAGGTCTTTGGATGAGCTTTCTGAGCTTTAGAGAGGGAGTGATCTTTCTTTGGAGCACTCTGTCATGGGAGCACAGACAGATGTGTAGCTAGGACCCCTAAGGGCACCTTCTCCTTCCTGGGACCCCTCTCCATATCACACTCACCTTCCAGGCTACAGACGGTGAGGAGAAGCACAGCCAAGGCAAGCAGTTTCATGGTGGTAACAGTGGGGATGGTGGCCTGGAAACAGTTGGGGGTGCGGGAGGAATGAGCTTCAGCCCCTCCCCAGAGACCTCTACCTAGGTGCCCACTCCACCCTGGCTCCCTCCCTTCCCACCATTAAAACCTGGCCCGCTCTGGATCCTGGCCACACCGCTCGCTCCCTTACCCTACCTGGTTGGCGTCTCTGCCCTTGCTGTCTGTGTCTGGCCTGGCTGGGGAGACGGGAGCTATATGCATTTCTGCTTCCCCACCCCCCTGTCAGGTGATAAGGACTGTGGAAGAGCCCCAGTGGGGCAGGGGCCACGTTGGAGTAAACAAGTGGGAGAAATGGGGGAGGAGGGGACAAGCATGTGGGGGATCATGATGATGAGGTGGGAGGCAGGGGGTGCAGGTCTTAGTGGAGGCCAAGGGGGTATACTTCAGGCTTATTCAACTTTCATTCTTTTGGGGTCTGGGGCTAGCTGTCTTTGGATTTGAATGCTGCAGGAAGCAGGATTCCTAGTTTTCTTCCAGAAAGCCCTGACATATAAGCCCTCAGCCCTTGGTAATTTGTCCCACTGTGGCTAGATTTTGTCTCCCCAGCCCTAACCCCTTCACTGCAGCTTTTGGTAAAGAGGTATTGGGGAACAGAAGAAAGGGGAAAGGAGTCGAAATCAGGAGCATTAGGGGATTGAGGGGAATGAGGATTAGGAGAATAAGGGTTAGGGCCAGAGGGCAGGTGTGATTGAATCTGTCCTGTTTTCAGTTAATGTGTAATGAGATGAGGGAGAAAACATGAGAGCCCAGAATGACCCTCCTGAGGGCTGATAAGTGAGTACACCCTACCCCCAATAAAACAAATTCAGAAAGTAGCCCCTGCCTTCCCCTTCCCAAATGGTGGGCTCTGGCAAGAAAGGAAGTGAATGAGAGTCTTCTACCAAGGATAAAGGTTGAAGTTCCCTGGTCACTGGATTACCTTATCATTCTAAGGTGATGGTCACCCAATATGAGTCAGCAGGGGCCAGAGCATCCCTCTGACCAAGGCTCCAGCCCCTGTGCCAGCCCTAATTGTGAGGGAGGACAAAGGTACATTCCCCAAGCCCAAGGCATTTGGGTGAAATCAGCTAAATAGATATCAGAAGCATTTGTACCTTTTGCCCTTTTGCCCTCAAAGTGTACACAGAGAGCATTCTTGAGAGATGGAGATGGAGGTGTGAGGGCTAGTGAGGGAAGTGACCGGGGCCTTAAAAAGTCTTACTCCATCTACAATTATTCCTCTGCAGAGTGCTTAGTACTTGACTGTCCCTGGCTCTGGAGTGGAGTGCATTTGGGGGCCAGAGCCCGTATTCCTTGATTTTATCTGCCAACTATACCTGGGCAATGAGGAAGGGTTAGCCGATAGGGGGCAGTTGCTTCCGGGAATCATTCTGCTAGAACTAAGGCTGCGACCCCTGCTCCTCTGCCCCAAACTCTCACCCAGTCCCATTCCACCAAGAGAACTACAAGGTGAACTTTGAGAGGTGTAAACCTCCGTGTCTCCGTAGGGGGAGCGGTACTTTCGAGTAGTACTCATCTGGAGGTGTGTACTGTGTTCCGTGGCGTACTATGGGGGGCTGTGAGGAGTCCCTAAGGGGCTCGAAGTAGGGGGCACCTGGGAGCCGTATGAACCAGGGTTCGAATGCAGCATTCACGATCATGCCCTCTGCCACCCTTCACAAAACGGAAGCCTCCAGGCTGTGCGGCGAAAGGAGTTTCAGTGGCCCAAGCTCCAAGATGCTCCCTCTGGTGTCTAGTACATTCACAGCGTTTTCCCGACCTTGTTGAGGCCGGGGGATCTAAGGCCATCTACTTGAGTTAAGTCTGAGGAGCTACCAATCAAGTCCCGCCCACCTCTGCAGTGCTTGGGTTGGAGCTCTCTTGGACCTGACTCTGCCTCTTCTTTGCTTCCTCCTCTCCCATTGGCCCCTGGGAGAAGCAGGCAGCTTTTTTTTTTTTAAATCGATTGGGCGGGGCCCAATCAAGGGAGTGTCGGGTCTTTGATGTCTTTTTTGCCCGATTCCAAGATGGCGCTCATGACCACGCTGATAAGGCAGCGTGAAGCCGCAGTCCTGCCATCACTCAAGATGGCTGCCCCCATCAAGATGACCGGGGTGTGCCGGGGGAAAAGGGGCAGCATGATAATCTGAGACGGTAAGGGCTATTGCTTCATTCCAAGCCTCCCCTTGGGGCCTAGGAATGGAGAGCAGAAAGACTGGGAAGCTGGGTGAGGTCTGTGATGGGAGCTAGGATTAGAGAATGGGGGAGGGGACGGGGTGACAGGTGGGGTGAAGAATCAAAGATGGGACGGGAGTGTGCCTTGGGTTCAATCTCCCCACCGGTACCCTCTCCCCACTCTTCCTGTTCCAGGTCTAGCATCGGACCATGTGGAAGTTTCTGGGACGGGGGAGTCGGATGATGGGGGGTGGGACCCGTGGGGGGGAGAGGGAGCAATAGCGTCCTTTCTCAGGCTAACCCCGGCCCCTCCCCTGTTCTCTGGACTGAAATGGGGAACACACTGGGCCTGGCACCGATGGGGGCTTTGCCCCGCCGGAGTCCCCGTCGAGAGGAACCTCTGCCCAACCCTGGGAGCTTCGATGAGCTGCACCGGCTATGCAAAGGTGAGAACTTGGCATTTGGGTGTCTCACGTTGAAGGGGCAGAGGAGGGGAGGGTCTTGAATGCTGGGTGTCCCGTGATGGGAGCAGGAAAGGGGAGATCCCAGCTGGGGCATCCAGGCTCAGGGAGGATCAGGTGCCCGAATGGAGTGGAACATTTCGCGGTAGGACTTGAAAGGAGGTCAGTGCCTCCAGAGTGTTTTCAGTGGGATTGCAAGGGGAGACTACTTCTTGGGGTAGGGGTTCCTTGTCTGTGCTTATATTCCTCCCCTCCCCCTCCCCTCCACCCCCTTCAGATGTGTTCCCAGCACAGATGGAGGGAGTGAAGCTCGTTGTCAACAAGGTTCTGAGCAGCCATTTCCAGGTGCTCCCACTTCTCTGGCCCTCCTTACGGTTCCTCTCTGCCTATCCCTGGATCCTCTCCTCCTTGCCTTTGTACTCAAGCCTTAACCAGGCTATGTGGGACAAATGAGGGAGGATGTGGGGCTCTCTTTACTTCCCTTGCCTGGGGGACTTGTTGCTTTTAGTTTTGGTGACCCTCTGTGTATGCTGGGATATTTGGGATTCTTATTAGGCCTTCTAGATGGGGAGAAGAGGAAGGGTGGAACGGGGATTGAAATGGGCAGGAGTGCTTTCCTCCATGACTTCTCTTTCCTCAGGTGGCTCACACTGTGCATATGAGTGCCCTGGGCTTGCCAGGCTATCACCTCCATGCGGCCTATGCAGGGGACTGGCAACTTAGCCCCACCGAGGTGAGGACTCCTCACACCTGGGTCATCTCCCTCAAAGCCCAGCCGGGACTCGGGTCGAGAGGAGGAGGAAATGAGTGCGTTATGGGGAAGAATGTACAGGGCACCTGCTTCTCTGTGTTTCCTCTGAATGGGAGTGGGGGAAATATTTGTGTGATGAGCCGGAGTTTGTCTCTGTGGCTCCACTAGGGGGCGCTGGGTACTGTTAAGAAATCCTGGCTGGTTGGATGGAAGCTGAGCGGTGCCCCCCCAGCTCAGTCTTAACTGTGTCTGCTCTTCAACAGGTGTTCCCCACTGTGGTAGGGGATATGGACAGCAGTGGCAGCCTCAACGCCCAGGTCCTGCTCCTCTTGGCAGAGCGGCTCCGAGCCAAGGCTGTCTTCCAGGTGACCCATGGTTCCTGCCTCCATCCTGAAGCATTTCCTCTTTCCCCATGAGTGTCCTGCTCAGGGGGGGCTCCAGGGTGAGGAGCCGGGCAGGAGTGATCGTCCGGGCGGGGAGGGGGGGGGGCTTTACTCCTTGTTCTCCCTACCCAGACGCAGCAGGCCAAGTTCCTGACGTGGCAGTTTGATGGCGAGTACCGAGGAGATGACTGTACAGCCACTCTGACCCTGGGGAATCCCGACCTGATTGGGGAATCGGGTGAGGAACTGGGGCGGGGTGCTTTGTATCTTGGCTGCCTGCTTGCTGATGTTGCCTCTGCCTTCTCATCGTCTGTACAGTTGAGGGATTAGAAACTTCTTGGGCAGGCTGGGGTGGGGGAGCAGGCCTGGATGCCGTCCCTGGGACCGACTCCGTGTCTCCCCACTACCCCACAGTGATCATGGTGGCTCACTTCCTGCAGAGCCTCACCCATCGGCTGGTGCTGGGAGGAGAGCTAGTTTATCACCGGCGGCCAGGCGAAGAGGGCGCCATCTTGACACTGGCTGGGAAGTACTCGGGTACGGGGTGAGGAGGAATCGTGACAGGGAGGGGAGATTCTGAACTCCGTGAGGGTTGCTGGCCTGTGTCCTGCTACAGTAACGCTCCTTGTCTCCCGCATTTTGGTTTTTACAGCGGTACACTGGGTAGCGACACTGAATGTGGGATCAGGTGGGGCCCACGCAAGTTATTACCACAGGGCAAACGAACAGGTGAGACTACCGATGCCGTCCCCCGCCCCAGCAAGTCAGTGGTGAACCTGTGCCCCCCGCACACCTCCAAAGGCCCCGCTGCCCTGCGGTCCTTCCCACCCACACGGCACAGATGTTTCCGGCATGCCTCCGTTTCACTGACCACGCCCTCCCCGTCAGGACTCCTCTGGTCCTCACTGACACACATCCTTCTCCCATCCTTGCCCGTGGTTCGCAGGTCCAGGTTGGAGTGGAATTTGAGGCCAACACAAGGCTACAAGACACAACCTTCTCCTTTGGTTACCACCTGACTCTGCCCCAGGCCAACATGGTGTTTAGAGGTAAGGGTTATGAAGATGGCGTTTGGAGGTACGGAGGGACCGGGCGGACAGCGGGAGGAGGCAAGCTTGCTTCTGAGCCCTGTCTCCGAGCCTGGGAAATAACCTCGTGTGTATCCTGTTCCCCAACAGGCTTGGTGGACAGTAACTGGTGTGTGGGTGCTGTGCTGGAGAAGAAGATGCCCCCCTTACCTGTCACCCTAGCCCTTGGAGCCTTCCTCAATCACTGGCGCAACAGATTCCACTGTGGCTTCAGCATCACTGTGGGCTGAGGGGGTCCCAGAGCCAGCCCCCACAGACGCTGGAACCTCCAAGTCAGGTGCCCTAGGGCCAGAGACTAGGCCCCCTCTCCAGAGCCCACCTTGCCGGGTGACCTGTGGGTCCCAAGAGCAGAGTCGGGGACAGGACCGTGCCCTCCTCCGAACTGGAGCTCCCACAGGGGCAGCTGCTGCGGCAGTGGTGTGAGGCCCCCACCTCTGCCACCGGCCCCAGGCTCCTCTTCCCATGCTCTTGTGGCTCTGGACTAAGGGAGGAGGATTAAGGGGTGTGTCTGGCCAACTTTTCTCCCCTCACTTCCCCCCCTCTCCGTTTCCCTATCGATTAAAGCTCCTAGCTTCTTCCTCTTCAAAGCAGAACAGTCTGCATGGGATTAGCTCCCTGTCCTGTTTTCCGTCCCAGAGTCTCCCAGGGCTGGGAAGAGGAGGGCTGAAGGGCTAAACCTTTGACCTCAGAAAGTGCCCCCTGCCCCCATTCCCAGAAGGAGCTTCTTTACCTCTTAGCCTTGAGGCTTCCTCCTTCCCCATCTTCCATGCTTCCAGAGAACAACTCTGTCCCCGTGATCATCCCCCACCAACCCCAAGACTGCATGAAGAGGCAGTTATTGCTTTAGTCTTTCATTGCAACCACTGGGCTCCCTTTCTACTGGTCCCAACCTCTGCCCCCCCCCCCCCAGCATTTTCCCCTTTCCAGTCCAACGTGTGCAGATGGCTGGGCTGGGGAAGGAGGCAAGCTGGGGCCTCAGCTGCAGATCTCCTGGAGCAGTGGCATCATGGCGGACAGTCCCTGGATGTGCTGGATTTGGTACCCGTATGCGTTGTTAATGCTCCGGAGCTCAGCCAACAGGCCCAGCAGCTTCGCATACAGAAACCTTTGGAGGAAGTAGTGGGGTCACCAGGGAAAGAAGAAAGTTAGGTGGCTGAGAGTCTTGTCTTGAGGTCCTGCTCCCCTAAACTTTCCTTCAGTGAAGCTAGGTCTGAACACTAGAGAAACTCATGCTCTGGTATGACAAATTTATCAAAAATTCCAAGGGTCCCCGAGGTCTTCTCTCACCATGCTGTTTTTCTTGAACCCAGAGGTCTGAGGGCCAAGTGTGAAGAAAGCCCCAGACTTGGTCAGAACTTCACCTGTGTGGAATCTGTGGATCTGGCCTTCTAGAGCAGGTTCTAGAAGGTGGGTGTGTTCTATGGTCTAAAGCATCCCTCTTCTGGCCAGACTGGCTTGTTGAGGAACAAACGAGAACAAGCAGAATGTACCCCAGAGCCTGGATAGATCATGGACTGTTGAGCCAGGGACTGGCTTTGGCCATGAAACTGAATGACCATAATAACTTCAAGGGGGATGAAAAATTAAAGGAATGGGCCAATGGAGAGGAAGGGAAGGGTGAAGGAAAGAGAGCAAACAAGAATCTTGGAGGGCTCCTTTAGCCTGCAGAGTTGGATGGGTAAGGTGATGGATGCCATCAATCTCAAGAATGCTATTATACGGAGCCTGTGAGCTACTACTTTGCATCTCTACTGAATAAAAAAAAAAAAAATCTGGAAAAAATCAGATGAAACAGCAGTAGGAGGGATTTGGATGCCAGAACCATATGAGGTGCGAGGGAAGGACAAGAGCCCCCAAGGGACCTGGTTTCCCAGAGGAAAGGACAGTAAAAGCATTCCTCCCGAGCTCCGTGTTTCCCTCGCCTTCCTGCCCCCGCGCAGCCTCCAAGCCCCTAGGCTCCCCCATACCGATCCCGAGGCCTTGGCGGCTGGCCTTTGATGTAGCTCTGCAGGGTCAGTGCCGTCACCTCTTGCAGATGATCAATCTCCTCCCTCCGGGTAACCCCAGGCCTGTCTGTAAGAGAGGGGAGTGGGGGACGGGAAGGACAGATGGGGAGCAGGCATGGGCCTACAGCACGCTGGACCCAGGCTGGGTTTGAAGCCAAAGCCCTGGCACGGAGGGATTCACAGGGCTGGGAGTTTGGGCAGAGGTGGAGGAGCAAAAGTTCTGGGCTTTGGGGGATGCTCACCGGGAGAGAAGAGGGCCATGGCGGCCATGAGCACATACTCAGGCTCCTGGAGCTGGAGTCGCCTCAGCGTGGCATGGAAGCGAAAGAGCAACTCTAAAAACTCCTCCTGGAACCCCACTGTGGGAGATGCTAGCCTCAGGATCCTTCCGGTCACCCGGCCACAGACCACTCGGCAAGGGCCGCCTACCCGCGGGCCTCACCGTGGACGCCGTCCTCCAGCGCGTAGCAGAGCGGCCCACAGAGGAAGTTTCGTGTTTGGAGACAGAAAGTGGTATTGAGTGCGATATGGCAGATTTCAACCGCTGCTCCCTTGAGAAGGGAGATCTGGTCCTCCATGGGCAGGGACCTGTGGGGAGCAGACAAGAGCATTTTAGGCTCTGCCTTGAACTTCAGAGAGGGAGAGGAGCTCCCAGTTCTGCTTGAGATACTTAAAACCAAAAGAGGGAATTCAAGACCTGGTGCTTGGAAAGTCTGCAAGATGGGTTTAGAGGGTCAGTGACTGTTTTTGGTGTGTGTGTGTGTGTGTGTGTGTGTGTGTGGTTATAATTTATTGGAGGGTTTTCCTCCTGAAAGGTAAGGGGAGGTCACATACCGGAAGAGGGGCAGATCCTTGGTGAACTTGATGACTTGCTGTACCATGAAAGTGTTGACCTCTGCGAAGTGCTTGAGCAGAGGCAGTGCGGGGACCGGGATGGGCAGGCGCTGGTGGTGGATGAACAGATGAGCTGGCGGCTGCAGAGATCAGAGCCCAAGTGAGTGGCCCTGACCCCAGGGCTCTCTCCAGCCCTCTCCTGGAAGAGTTCCGGGCTGAGGAGCCTGTCAACGGTGGGGTTCTGGGGAAGTCTTGTCCTCCATATTGGGGCACGGCACACCCGCCCCCTCCCTCGGGTCAGCCTCCTCGGGCGCCCTGTTGGTCCCCTTTCAGCCCAAAGCCCATATAAAGGCTCACCCTGAACTGCACAAACTGGTCAAACATGGTGCCCACGTGGCGGGCGTGGGCCCCCAGGAGTGTCTGGACTAGCTCTTGCTGCCCCTTGCTCAGCTGCACAGGTGCCCACTGGGCCCGCCTCTGGGCCTGCTTCGCCCGCCGCTGGACCAGGGCTTCTGCCGACAGGATCACTGTGCCCAGGGAAGATGAAGGCCAGTGCCACTGAGACCCGCGGGGAGCACCTCTCTCTCCCAGCCCCCTGTCTGGGAGCCTTCGGGTACCATGAGCGACGAAGGATGTGGGGAGGGAGCAGCATTCCTGCAGCCTCCTTGGGCGCGGCTGAAGTCCTAGAGGCCCCAGCGGATAGGGGATCCCTGGCCACCTTCCCCAACCCAGGAGGCCCCACCGCGGAAAACAAGGCGCCAGCTGGGGGAAAGGAGGGGTGGAGAATAAAGTGGTAGCCGTGAAGGGAGATGTTTGGTTTCTGGGTGACCACTGAAGAGGGAGGGCTCTTGGTTCCTAAAGCATCACCTTCTGTTTACATAGCCCTATAATGTCAAGGGTTCTGAGGTTAAATCTCGCTGGATGAAACAACCCTATGGGTAGAGGGAAGACAAGGCAGATGTTATTGTCCAGATTTTTCAGATACACAAGCGGGCTGGCATTCCAGTGGCAGGTCCAAGGTCAGAAAACACTGAAGTGATGCGAGTCAAGATTTTTTGACTTCTACAGTTTCTGCTGCTCCATATTGAAAAGTAGCGTGCTATCACGGGAAAGCAAGGGCTTGGGAGTCAGATGGAAGGGTCTGAACATGGACGCAGTAACTTTGTATCTGAGTGAGCTCCGGCACATTGACTTCTGTGAGCTCCGGTGACATGGTCTGTTGGGAGCATAGCCTAATTATGTGGCACAGAATAATGGCATGCGATGATTCATTCAACAGTCATCAAGTACCTACTAAGTGACATGCACCTTATGTGAGAGACAGAAATTCAAGCCATGTGGTTATCTAGGGGAAGAGCAATCTGGGTGGAGGGACTGGCAAGTGCAAAAGTCCCCAGGAAGGTGTGCTGGGTGTGCTTAAGGGTGTCACTGAAGTCAGTGTGGCTGTGAGTGATAGGGCAAGGCGGAAAGAGTAGGAGAGGAAATCTGGGGGGGCTGCATGGGGGAGTTAGACCACGAGATCTCGGACCGTAAGAGAGGCGGGGAGCCTTTGGGGTTTTGAGCAGAATCGAAACATCTGACTTGTCTCCAAAAGCTTACTCTTCTTGTGTGGAGAATATGCTTTGGGAACGAGGGCAAAGCGGAGAGACCTAGTCAGTGGGTTTTTGCGTTGGTAGGGGGCCAACTCACTTTCCTTCTTCATGCCAGCATCTAGGCACTTCTGCAACCTGCAGGCTGGGCAGTGGCGCCTCTGGGCCTTGTTGACCTTACAGTTTCCAGCAAAGGGGCAGGTGAGACCAGTGTTTTTGCTGACTGTTCGTCTGTGAGAGATGGAGACGTCTGGGAGGGTGGTCGCGGATGGCAGTGAACAGCTGGTATGTGAGGGGCTGAGAAGATATGATCTACAAGGATGTGTGGGGACGTGGGCTAACCTGAGCTGTGCCCAAGGGTCCCTAAGGGTGGGTAGGGTACAACACATCTCAAGCACAGGGGCACAGGATCACTGGCTTGGTGCTTTGCAGGTAGTGAGTACAGAAGAAGTGCTCTTGACTAAGGGGTTGTGACCACAGGACAGACACGGCCTTCCCCCTATTATTCTATTTATGCCCCTATTTATGAGATGTTGAGGTTGGCAAGATGTAGCATGCTAGCCACAGCGCAGTTAGGCTCCGAGAGGCAGGAGTAACATAGCTGGACAAGCTCGGGCATGTGCCACAACTCAAAGGCTGCCTGGTGGGCAGTTTGGCAGGTTGTTTCTCCTGGGGAAGAGGCTCTTACCTGAAGAAGCCCTTGCAGCCCTCACAAGTCAGGGCGTGGAAATGATAACCGGTGGCTCGGTCCCCACATACCATACAGCTCCTTGGCCCATCCTCCCCACTGGCCATGGCTTCAGATGTTGCAATGGCCGTCACAGGCCCCTGGATGTGGGAAGGGTTAGCAGTCAGCTGAAGGCCACCCTTGACGTTCTTCTCCCCCTTCTTTAGAACCTCTTCCCAGACCTGCCCTGGGCCTGACCCTCTGCATTATCTGTACTTCATTGCTTTTAGTCTCTGGCCCGCAAAAGATTTCCTACCTGCTACTCTTAAGCCTGTCACCCGCAGGCCACAGAATCTGGTGTGGGCTGCCTCTCCCCAGACTTCCACTCTGCCCCTGCTTTCCCCTTGGTGTCAGGACCTGCCAGTGTTTGCAGTTAGGGATTATGGCCCTCTGTACCTGGAAAACAAGGAACTTCTGCTGTGTATGGCCTCCAGTTGTTCTCAGCGACTACCTAGATAAGGCACAGACTCTGGACCCAGGGCAAAGGCCCAGGTGGGAGGTTTTCCCAGCATGCCCGTGGTGTAGGTTGCTGGCACCTGGGGGACCTCATGACTCACTAGAAGCTGCTGCTTATCAGACGCATGGAGATCTTCCCTACTACTGAGCTTCAGGCTAGATCTGTAAGCCTCCTTTGAACCTGGATCTTGGACAAGCTGGGAAGAGAGAGGGAGAGACAGAGCAAGGTTTTTCACGTGCAGTTTGACAATAGTAAAAGAATAGGCATATCAATTGCACAAGGCTCCCAAAAGGAAGGTTCTTGGAAAGAGACCGGGGTCTCGTTAAGAACTTATGCAAAGAGCTAGTGAGATCTACACTTCCTAACAAGGGAGGGCTGAGAATTACATCAGAGTGTCCTCTTAACAAATTAGAGGTAGTAGTTAGGATTGATTTGAGGACTCTTGCACCGAGCTGGCTTCGTGGGCATGTGACCTGTGCAGGCACACAGGACCCTGGCCTCGAGAGGTCTCGGGTTTGGTTTAATGCTCTGCCATTGCTGTCTTGAAATTCTCAATGGTTTTTGAACAAGGGAATCTGCATTTTCATTTTTCAGTGGGTGCCACAAATTATGCTCTTGGTCCTGTCTGGAGCCAAGATGGACTTCTAATGAGTAGGTTTAAGAATCGCAAGTAGGAGTCTTCACCAGGGTTGTCTAAGTGCTTCATTGGCACTGAAGAATATTTTTGCAGGGGTGAGAGAGAGAGAGAGAGAGAGAGAGAGAGAGAGAGAGAGAGTGTGTGTGTGTGTGTGTGTATTCTCCCAATATCTATGAACAGAAAAATATCTCAAGAGCTATTTGGATGTTTTGGGGATGGACAATATGTTAGTTATGTCTATGTCTATATCTATCAGATCTATGTTGGGTAGATCTGATATCGTACACACACCGGAATAAAGTCCAAAGCTGAGTCTTCTTATTTGAAAGGTCCTTCTCACCACAGACCTCCCCGGGTGTTTGGGCTTCTGCACCTGTACGGTCTTCTCCCACTAGAAATAAGCATTTTCCTTTTTTTTTTTTTTTTTTGGTCCTATCTTTTTCTTCCATTAAGAGTTCAATTAGAATTAATGTTGCCCTAAATATGAGTTTAAAACCCACGTGCAGGGCGCCTGGGTGGCTCAGTTGGTTAAGCGACTGCCTTCGGCTCAGGTCATGATCCTGGAGTCTCGGGATCGAGTCCCGCATCGGGCTCCCTGCTTGGCGGGGAGTCTGTTTCTCCCTCTGACCCTCTTCCCTCTCGTGCTCTCTATCTCTCATTCTCTCTATCTCAAATAAATAAATAAAATCTTAAAAAAAAAATAAAACCCACGTGCAGGTTGGAGTCATAAAAACACAGAGACAGGGAGGAGACAGAGCCTTGCTTAGGTCCCCAGAATGAATTGTATAAGCTATTACGTTTTGCAATAAGTGGAGTTCCAGAGAGCACAGGTGCTTAGATCTGGTTCTTGGGAGATGCTGAGCACATCTCTGTGTGTGTGCATCTGTTGGTATGCTCGCCTGAGTGTGACTGTGAGAATGTGTACTCATTCATTTAATCAACAAATATTGACTGACCACCTACTATGTGGTAGACAGGAGGGATGAAAAGATGAATAAGATGCTTTTCTGGCCTTATGGAACTTAAATGTGCTAGTGAGGAAGACAGACCTTTGCACAGACATAAAGAAACATAATCAGATCAATGACGGTGCTGTGCACAGAGCATATGGGACCACAGAGGAGGGGCACCTAATCCGCTTTGGCAAAAAGGTGTTGAGGAAGAGGCAGGAAAGGCTTCCTGGAAGAGTGACAACTGGGTTGATTTTGAAAAGATAATGAGGAGTTAGGTGAAAACAAAATGCAGTTCAGAAGGCAGAGAGTGCAACCTGAGAAAGTTCCAGAAATCAGATACAAAAAGGTGTGTGTGTTGTCGAGCCACACACAAGCCTCTCCTGCTGGAGCCCAGCACTTCAGATTGGGAATGGGAGGGGAGGATTCTGGAGAGGTGGGCCAGGAGGCCGAGGGGTGGGCAGGGCCAGTTCACGGGGGACCTTCTGTCTCCCAGACTAAGTAGCTTGCATCCATCAGAAAGCTTCTGAAGAGGAAGCGGAGAAAGGACATGGGCAGACCTATTCTGGATTGATCTGTCTTATTCTCAATATCTTACGTTGCTGGCTTTTTGGAAGACGGATTTGATGGTGCAGGACCAAGGCAACGGGACCAGTAAGGAAGCTATTGCCATAATGTAGTTAGGAGAAGATTATGCCTGAGCTAGCCCAGTAGGAAGCTGCGGAGGAAGAGAGGGTTTTGAGGAATACATGGGAGGTGCTGTCTTTGGAACTTGGTGGCTACTAGCACGTGCTGAGGAAGAGGAAGAGGAGTCAAACATGACTCCAGGTTTCTAGCACGAGTGATTAAGTGGATGCGGGTACCATCCCCTGGCAGAGAGATGACCCGAGGATGGTGTTCTGCATACACCCACCAGTTTGGTGTTCTGCATACACCCACCAGTTTATTAGCGGAGTTCACTTGGATGTCACATAGGCATCTCGAATTCGGTAGGTCTTAAAATGGTGCCGTACGATACCTAAGGCACAAGCAATGAACTTAAAAAACACACTAGTAGGACTGTATCAAACTAAAAAGCTTCTGCACAGCAAAGGAAACCATCAACAAAATGAAAAGGTAACCTGCAGAATGGGAGAAAATATTTGCAAAGGACCCATCCAGTAAGGGGTTAATATCAAAACTATATAAGAAACTCAATAGCAAAAAGCAAAACCAAAAACAAACAGCCCCCACCAATAATCCAATTAAAAATTAACAAAGGACCTGAATAGTCATTTTTCCAAAGAAGATATTTAAATGGCCAACAGGTACCTGAAAATGTGCTCGGCATCACTGGTCATCAGGCAATGCAAATCAAAACCCGTGAGAAGCCACCTCACACCAGTCAGAAGGGCCATCATCAAAAAGACAAGAGATAACAAATGGTGGCGAGAATGTGAAGAAAGGGAACCCTTGCGCGTGGGAATGTAAATTCACAGCCACCGTGGAAAAGAGTATGGAAGTTCCTCAAAAAACTAAAAATAGAACTACCATCTGATCCAGCAATTCCATTTCTGGGTGTATATCCAAAGGACATAAAAATCTCTGTCCTGAACAGACATGTGAATCCCTGTGTTCATTGTCGCATTATTTACAATAGCTAAGAAATGAAAACAACCTGGGTGTCCATCAAGAGATGGATGGATAAAGATGAGAATACACACACACTCACACACACACACACAGTGGAATACTATTCAGCCATAAAAAGAAGGAAATCTTGCCATTTGTGGCAACATGGATGGACCTTGGGGGCATTATGCTAAGCGAAATAAGTCGGACAGAGAAAGACAAATACTGTGTGATCTCACTCATGTGTGGAATCTAAGACAAACTCATAGAAACAGAGATCAGATTTTTGGTTGCCAGAGGTGGATGGTGGGGGATGTGGGGGAATTGAGTGAAAGTGGTCAAAAGGAGGGGTGCCTGGGTGGCTCAGTTCGTTGAGCGTCTGCCTTCATTCTTTCGGCTCCAGTCATGATGCCAGGGTCCTGGGATTGAGCCCCATGTCTGGGGCTCCCTGCTCTGCGGGGAGCCTGCTTCTCCCTCTCCCTCTGCCACTCCCCTTGCTTGTGCGCTCTCACTTGTGCTCCTCTCTCTCAAATAAATAAATAAAATATTTTTTAAAAAGTGGTCAAAAGGTATAAACTCCTAGTTAAAAGATAAAAAAATTCTGAGGATGTAATGTAGAGCATGATGACTCTAGTTACCAATATTGTGTATTTGAAGGCAGCTATGAGAGTAGATCTTAAAAATTCTCATTACCAGGGAAGAACATTTAGGGCTATATCAGATGAATTGTTTCACAATATATACATATGTCAAATCATTATGTTCTATACCTCAAACTTATATGATGTTATATGTTAAGTATATCTTAATAATACTGAAAAAAAAAATAAGATGAACCACTGTCAACCCCCACTAACTTCTGTATTACCTAACTTGGTGACTACCCCAGCATGAGAAAGTGGAAAGTGCGTGAGTTTTGGAGTCATACGGACTTAGATTTAAATTCTGACTCAGGCTGTTGCTAGCTGAATTGCTTTTGTTGCTCCTTCCCTAACTATTTGACGTCACTGAGACCCAGGTCCGTGAGAGTCCGGTATCACCAGGCTGGGACAATCCCAGACAAGGGAGGCTGACTTCTTCCTCCCAGATCCATAGGAGATGCTGAGAGGGGAGTTCAGCTTGGTGGAGAGATGCTCTGGCCCAGTGCTGTCCCTTCTCCTGGGGTCCAGGGATCGCCCTGAGCCTTGCTCTTCCTGTAGGTACCTTTGGGACATGCCTCTCTGAGCACCGAGTGAGTACAGAAGTGCACTCCCAGCCTTGGGGTGCCCGGCTGGCTCAGTCGAAAGAGCGTGTGACTCTTGATCTTGGGGTCATGAGTTTGAGTCCCATGTGGGATGTAGAGATTAGTTAAATAAATAAAACTTAAAAAAAAGAAAAAGAAGTGATCCCAGTCTTAGAGTCTCTCCCACAGAA